TTTTTTTTTTTTTGATATCATTAATAAACAATTACATGAGCAACATTGTGGTTACTAGATTCCCCCCATTATCGTCTCACCACATACCCCATTACAGTCACTGTCCATCAGCGTAGTAACAGTGCCTGATCTTTTAAGCGCCCAGAGAGGTGCATGCATGCGTGAAGCTTTAGGGTTGGGGCGGGTAGGGAGAGCCCGGGATGCAGGGTCGAGCCCCTCGCCCGCTCCCCTGCTCTCCAAAGTTACCTGGCGGGTGGGAGCTGAGCTTGGGGGGGAGTTACCGGCTACGCGAGCGCCGGCCCCGCCCTCAGCCTCCTCAGGCACCTGTTGGCTCGAGGGCCTACTCGGTCGCAGCTGCTACCCAATAGGTAGCCTCCCCGGCCCGACCTGGCCCCACCCACAACCTGGATCCGCCAATCCTCGGGTGGCCGCGGCCTCTCCCTCGGAGGGCCCTCCCCAACGAGCGCTTCTTCCGGGTGGGGCCCGGGGGCGAGGTTATGGCGCCCTGGGCACTCCTCAGCCCTGGGGTCCTGGTGCGGACCGGGCACACCGTGCTGACCTGGGGGATCACGCTGGTGCTCTTCCTGCATGATACTGGTGAGCCGGACCCCGCACGACCGCGGACCCACCCCGTCCCTCGTGGTTCCCCAGACGTTCATCTCACTGGGTTCCTTGCCGAAGCCCCACGGATTCTGGGATTCACATCTCCGCCAGCTCCTAAGGCCCCTTCCCCATCTGTCATCCCAAGAGCCACCTGCTTTCGTCCGATACCTAGTTGATCCCTAATTAATCCCAGCACCTTCCTGATCCCTGCCAGATGCCCTGTCCATCTCAGGACCCATCTCCCCTGGTCCGGGTACCCACCCTCTCCTTCCCAGGAGTTGACCCCCAACCTCCCCTCCAAAAGATTCCGAGCATCGACTAGGTCAAGGACTGGCATCCCATCCCCCGACCTCCATGGCCACTAGCTGCCAAAGTCCAGGCTTCCCACCCTCAGGCAAGAGAACACCTCATATGGGAGCGGCCTGACCCTCATGTCCCCATCCTCGCTCCCTGCCCTGGTAGCCCCCGCTCACCCCACCAGCCCACCCCTTCATCTCTTTACCTGCCACAGGCCGCCTCCAGCCCAAGGTCTCACCCTCCCTCGCTGTCCCGACCCCTCCCGTCTTGCACCGGCCCTAGCCTCCCGCCTGGGGGCGCCCTCACTTTCCTTGAGAGACCTCTAGTCTCTGCAGTCCTTGCGCCTTAGCCTAAAAACCTGCTCAGGGTCCCCACCAGAAAGGACCTCCCAACCCCGCTTCCTTCTCTGCTCCCTTTTACAACCAAGGGGCACCAGAGGTGTCCACACTGCTATCTGGCTGCCTCACGCCCCTTACTCCCCACCTTCCATCCCGCACAAATTCCTCAGTCACCTCCATGGACTGGACCCTTACTGGCCTGGGCCCCCCTCACGAACCTCTGCAACCTGGGAGCCTGCTGGCCCCGCCTCCTGTCTGTTCCTGAGCATCTCAGACCTGGCTGGTCTCTTCCATCGGGAAGCCAGAGGCAGGGATCCCTCCTCTCTCCCCACACATCCAGTCAAGTTTGGTCCCTTCACCCCTTTACCCCCTATGTACCCATACCTTCCTCTCTACCCCTCCTATCAGTGCTCTTGCCAGCCACCCTCCTCTTCTCTCCCTCCTGGACAAGCCTCTTTGACTCCAAACTTACACCCACCCCATTCATTTCCTTACCAACAGGGAAACCAGCAGCCCTGGGATAGTTTGTAGAAACAGCTCTGACTCTGTAACCCTCCATGGCTCCCTGTTGCTCTCCAGGCAGAGTGCAAATGAAGTGCCTTTATTTGCTGGGCCTGAAGTACTCCCTCCTGTACCCTATGCAGTAGTCACACCTGACCCCCTCATCCAACCCCATCTTCAGGCAGGGATGCACTCCCTACCTTCAGCACTCGCCCCCACACACATGCACACACACACACCTTCCCATTTGGTCCCAGCCTGGGCCTCACTCTCCTTCTCCGGCCTCTCCAGCACTGCGGCAGTGGGAAGAGCAGGGGGACCTGCTCCTGCCTCTCGCCTTCCTGCTCCTGGTGCTGGGCTCCCTGCTGCTGTACCTGGCTGTGTCACTCATGGACCCGGGTTACGTGAACATCCAGCCCCAGGCCCAGGTAACCAGGGAGCCCCTGGGGGCCTGAACCCCTCCTCCCACCAGTAGGGGACCCAAGGTCCCAATACTAGTCTCATGCCAGGTTCTATGTGAAGGGCTTTCTTGGGGCATCTCTGAATCCTCTTGCCAGCCCTAGAATCCCATCCTACAATGAGAAATAGTCAAGGTCCAGAGAGGGGAAGCAACTGGCAGAGGTCACACAGCCTCACTTAATTTAGTCCAGGCCAATCTGCCCCACCCCACCACTTCTGTTATGCAAGGGATGGGCCCCAAAGTGTGCACACCCAGAGCTAGGCTAGGCCCTAAGGGAGATGCCCACCAGTGCCATCTACCTCCAAAAAGGACTCCCCCCTTACACCCTGCATCCCATTTTCAGGAAGAGGCCAAGGAGGAGCAGACAGCCATGGTTCCTCAGGTCATCCCCCTTCGGCGCTGCAGATACTGCCTGCTGCTGGTGGGTGATGCAGGGACCTTCGTGGGAGAGGTCAGGGGCAAGGTTAAGACTCCCTGACCTCCTGCCCTAGGGCCTTGGCCTCGCCCCTCCAGGAAGGCCTCACAGATTCAGGCCCGACTCCCACCCTCATCCCTCCCCTCACTCTTGGGCCCAGAGGGGAGCTGTCATTGAACCAACTTCCCTCCATGCCCACAGCAGCCCCTGCGGGCCCGGCACTGCCGTGAGTGCCGTCGCTGTGTGCGCCGCTACGACCACCACTGCCCCTGGATGGAGAACTGCGTGGGGGAGCGCAACCACCCACTCTTCGTGGCCTACCTGGCAGTGCAGCTGGTGGTGCTTCTCTGGGGCCTGTACCTGGCCTGGTGGGTTCTGCCGCAGTCCAGCGGGGGGCGGGGGCAGGCAGCGTGCTCCCACAGGTGTGTCGAGAGCCAAGCTTCCCTCTCCCAAATGGCCTGCCCACCTGGGCTCCCTGGGGCACCCCTACCCACCCCCAGCTCTGGGTTCCCATCCCTATTCTGCCCTGCAGGTCTGGCCTCCGGTTCTTCCAGCCCTGGGGGCTATGGCTGCGGTCCAGCGGGCTCCTGTTTGCCACCTTCTTGCTGCTGTCCATCCTCTCTTTGGTGGCTGGCCTGCTCCTGGCCTCGCACCTCTACCTGGTGGCCAGCAACACTACCACCTGGGAGTTCCTCTCCTCGCACCGCATTGCCTACCTCCGCCAGCGCCCCGGCAACCCCTTCGACCGTGGCCTGATTCGCAACCTGGCCCACTTCTTCTGTGGGTGGCCCTCGGGGTCCTGGGAGACTCTCTGGGCTGAGGAAGAAGAGGAAGAGGGCCGCAGCCAAGCTGTCTAGAGTTACAGGAGGCAGGGCCACCATCTAGTGCCTGAAAGCCGGAAGGCACACGCAGCAGGGGCGGGCCTCCAGCGGGCTGGGGGCTTCCCCGGCTGCCCGCTGCTCCCAGGCCTCGGAGCACAGCTGAACACAGAACCCCTGCCTCGGGGCAGGTCTGCCCTCTCCACTGGAGGAAGGGGGTGAAGAGGACCTGTGGGGGCTCAGGCACGAACAGCCTGGGCTTCTGATTACCTCCACCCCATCCCCCAAGCCAGTAAGCCTCCAGTACACAGTTTTATATATTTAATGATCCTTAAAGCAAGTCAAGTATTAAAAACAAACAAACCAAACGGCTCCTAGCTGTGTGAGCCTTCCTGGGCCAGGTCTCACTGGGAGGCAGAGGAAGGGTGGCGGGAGTGGGCCAGGTGGGCAGTGATGGAGGAAAGCCCACCACAGCACGCCGGGGCCACCACCTCAAGTCCCAAGGGTTCAGACATGCCAGCAAGGCCTGGGCACCCAGATGGGCAGACAGGTGGGTGAGCAGGGCTCTAACAGTCTGGGGTACAGGGGCGGAGATGCCAGGAGGGGCCCTCAGGGCTCCAGGAACTGCTCTGACACGAAGTCAAAGTCCTGGAAGGCAACCTGTTGACGGGCGGTGAGGGGGCTGCGGGGGTCAGGGGGCGTCAGGGCAGGCGGCAGCCCCGTGAACTCGCCCTCAAAGTAGCGCAGGTCTGTAGGGCCATAGAGGCTGGGCAGGAAGGGGGGCTGGACAGCACGGGCGAGCAGGGCCTGCCAGTCGGTGGTCTGGGGGCAAGGGGAGAGGGGCCTGAGACAAGGGTAACAGCAGCCCACATGGTAATGCGAGGCCTGCTTGCCAGGCAACAGGCCCACGACGGCCCTGGCCACTCACCCTGAAGAAAGGCTGAGTCTTGACCTCCTCGGCGTCCTGCTCACCTGCCCCCAGGCGCTTCTCCGGGCACTTCTGGAGGAGCTGGGCAAGAGGACAGACGTTCACTGGAGCCCTTGGCCCCAGGCACTGCCCGCCTCCTCAAGTACCACAAGCAAGCTGGGCCCCAGGACCTCAAGGATGGGTGGTGATGGGCGACCCATGAGCCACAGCACCTGCCTGGCCCAGCCCTGGACCCTGCAGTGATTACCTTCTGAATGAGCTCCAGCCCTTGCACCGACAGAAAACGGGGATACGGGGCATCAGCATTGACAATGCAGTCAAACACCTCCTCCTCAGTGTCCCCCGGGAACGGGCACTGTGGGGATGGGGATCAGCAGGCTGCATGGGCCACTCCCACCCCACCCGGACCTAGAGGCCCCAGCAGCCCCAGCATAACACCCACCTCGCCCACCAGCATCTCGTAGAGCAGCACGCCCAGCCCCCACCAGTCCACAGCCCGCGTGTAGGCCTCCTGGGTCAGCACCTCGGGGGCCAGGAACTCCGGGGTGCCACAGAAGGTGCTTGTCCGGTCCCCAAAGCCGATCCCTGCACACCAACATACACACCGACCTGGGCGTGGTGTCTTGTCCACGATAACCTCCACAGTTGTAACAATCAACAGGCAACCCTTACGACCCCATGGACCCCATCCCATGCCAAGCCCTGCCCCATACCCTCAGAGGCGGGGACAGTTTTTATGCCATCTGACTGATGAGGAAGCTGGGTTTCAGCCACGCTCACAGGCCGAGGTCATGTAGAAAGCAGAACCCATTCCCCTCTCCTAGCTCTAAGCACAGGCTCTCACCCTGGCCAAGGGCAAGCTAGGGCTCTTTTCAGAGCTCCTTGGGGTGGGAAGGAAGAGTCCGTGTGTCCAGCTGGTCCCTAGAAGGAGGGCCAGGGCAGGGAGCTCTCCTGGCAAGTGCCACTTGCCCCCTGCCCTGCTGGCTTGGGCTGTGAGCAAGGCTAAGACATGGGGTCCTGGACCAGAGGCACCTACCTTCCTTGCATAGCCCGAAGTCTGCGATCTTCAGGAAACCTTGAGCGTCCAGCAGAAGATTATCCAACTTGAGGTCCCTGAGGGTGAGGGGGCAGATCAAAGGGTCCCTGGAATAGCCTAGGAGGAGGGCAGCACCTGCTCCCCTGCCCTCCCAGCCCCAGAATCCTGGGGGCCAGTTACCTGTAAATGATCTTCTTCTCGTGTAAGAACTGCAGCCCCAGGACCACACAGGCCAGATAGAATCTGGAGGGGTGGTGCAGGGGGAGTTCAGGCCCAGGACGACAGGGGGCAGGGCCTGGAGACCCCTGGATGTCCTGGCCAGAGTCAGATGTGGGTGAGGGGCTGGGATACGCCTCCCATGGCCACGAGGGGAACTCCTCCAGACAAGAGCCCCAAGGTTGTCCCAAGTTTGCTGCCCACTAACAACCTACCCTTCCTGGGCTCTTAGATGGTGCCAGGTTTGACGCCCAGCGTTCTCACACCTTACTCTCCCAGCATCCTCCCACCCTGCGGTTGATGGGCATCACGGCCATTTTTCAAATGAGGATCTGAGCCTCCAGGTACTGACGCACCCGGGGTCACACAGCTAGTGGCAGAACTGACATGCAAACCCAGACTCCAGGGCTTGCAATCTGATGGGCAAGAAATAACATCGGCTGCCAGTCACTTGCTGCTCACCAGTCCCTGTGCTCAGCAATTTATAAATGTTACACTCATCTACATGATCAGTCTAGGAAATAATTATTAGCCTAATTCACAGCTATATAAACTAAGGGCCAAGGTCACAAATGCTGTGAAAGTTGATAACCAGGATTTGAACCAAGGCCTCCCTGCCTCCATGCTCTTCTGCCGATGGTTGCCCCAGGAAGTGGGATGAAGGGAGCTGAGTATAGGGAAGGCTTGCTGGAAGAGGCAGACAAGAAGGACAGGAACCCACCGAGCCTGGGGCTCAGGAAAGACATCGTCATGGATCTGCATCATGAGGTCACCACCAGGCACGAACTCGGTCACCAAGCAGGCGTGGCTGGAGGTCTGGAAGCAGGCAAGGAGGGGGAGCAGGAAGGGGTGCCCCGCGCAGCCCACAGCCTCCAGGATCCGTTTCTCACAATACAGGCTGCAGCGGAGGGTGCGGGTTTGGAGGGACTGTGTGCCCTGCCTGTGCCCTGCCGCCCATGATATGCCTGGCTCACTGGGTCTCCAAAGTACCAGGCAGGGACAGGGGTGGTGTCTGTGTATCAGGGGCTCACATGGGCCACACTGAACCTGCACAACCGCCAATGTCCCATTTTATAGATGAGGAAACTGAGGTACAGAGACAAGAGGGGACCTGCCCAAGGGCACACAGTGCCACCTGCAGGTGCTAAGGAAGAGCACAGGCCTAGCTGGCCCCACAGGGTCACCTCTTCAAAGCCCCAGGAGCATTCAGCTGCAACCAGCCCAGGCAGCCAGCAGGGTACCCTCCAGGGCCAGGTGACCCCAGCCTCCCTACGCACCTCTCTATCTCGTCCCGGCTCAGCACCTCCTGTTTCTTCAGCGCTTTGATGGCATAGTATTTCCCTGTGCCCTTGAACTGGGCCAGGAGGACCTGTAGACCAGAGAGGTCAGGCTCCAGGCGGGCAGCAGAGGAACCTTTAAATCCCCCACCCACCACCCAACAGAGCACAGCGTCCTCCGAGCTGATGGCCTGCCCACCCGTCTCCGCCACACCCGCCACACCCGCCCTCCCAGGCACTACCTTTCCGAAGTGTCCCCGGCCCAGCACGGCCAGGCAGCGGAAGTCCTGAAGCCGGGGGGGTTTCCTGCAAGAGAGAGGGCACAGGAAGCCCCCTGGGACAAGGGCTGTTCCAAACCCTTTATGCCCGGTCCTGGTCTGCCCCACCTATGAGGCTGGAGAGCCTGAGTAGGGGCTCCTCGGACAGCAGTGCCCCGGAGTCCGGCATACAGCTGGAGCCAGTGCCAGTAAGGTGGGCTCAGCGAGGAAGAACCTGAGAGCGAGCCAGTGACACGGCAAGGAGCTGTGGGTGAGCCACGAATGGCCACGCAGACACTCAGGGAAGCAGATAAATGTCTCAAATGTGAAAGTGAGCCTGGGGGGTACCTGGTGGCGGAGGCTGGTAGAGACAGCCCAACCGGACTCCTGGCCTCCATGTGAGGGCGTTTGGTGCGCTGTGAAGGCAGAGGGGCTCAGGGCAGAGCAGGGCCTCCCTCCCACAGGCCCTGCCACCCTGCCTCAGCAGTCCCCTGCAGCTACCAGCATCCCCCTCACCGGTGTCTCCTCGGGGATTGACTCGCGGGGCAGGCAGAGGCGTGGGGGCTTGGGAGGGGGCCTCATCTCTTCTTCCAAGGGGGTCTTCTTGGGTGGGCAATTACTGTGGGGAAAGAGATACATTGTGGGGAACAAACAGATGGAAGAGCTGAAGGCACAGACACACAGCCAGGCCAAGAGACAGTCAGAGGGTCAGAGGGTAAGCAACTGGGGCAGAAACACAGACCGGCTGCACCTGCAGAGAGGTGGATGCCACAGAAAAGCAGGCAGACGCAGGCAACATGGGTCCTCACCTGGGTGAGGCAAAGTCTGCAGCTCCCCGGGGTGTGGCCAGGGTCTGGGGGCACCCTTTGGGGGGGCTGATTGTGCTTGGAGAGCTGCAGGGGGGCAGAAGGCTCGTGACCAAGCGCCCCCAGGCCGCCATGCTGAGGTTCATCTGGGAAGCCCTTAGGAAGTCCCGACCTAGGGCAAAAGTGGGGCTCAGTCCCAGGGGGCCCTGACAGCCCACCCCTCTCCCTCTACAAGTACAGCCCTCTCCTCTCCAAGCCACACCTCTGCGTTTAGAGAAAATGCGTTTCTGCCTCTGCAGCCGGGGCCTCCTCTCAATGACAGGGTCACAGAAGGTCACCTGTGGGGGCAGGGGGCAGGGCTGAAGACCAGTCTCCTCCTATCCCATCAGCCATAGGCAACTCCCAGCCTCCAGGATCAGCCTAAGCCTCCAGTGCCAATGATGCAAGAGCCAGAGGAGCCCGGAGAGACAGATTCAATGTTAGTTGGTACCAGTGGGGAAACTGAGGCTCAGAAAAGAGGGGCACTTGTCCTGGGTCACACATGAGGCGTGAAAGTCAGGATAAGGACAGAGGGGCTTGGGAATCCTTCATTCTTGGTAACCTCCTGCCGCCAGGCCTCAATTTCCACTCCCATACATGGGTGGGTTGCACAGTCTCACAGCCCCTTCTAGCTCTGAAGGAGCCAGGTGTCCTTGAGGTCAGGGGGCAAGGCCAATGGGCACCTGGGCGAAGAGCAGCCCCTTTGGCACCAGGCTGAGGGAGAGCTGGTGACAGGCATTGTCCAGGAAGTCTTCCAGCCGCAAGAAGGCCACGCCACACAGTTGCCGCCAGTCGCGCCAATGCACCCCAACCTCCAGCTCTCGGGCCTGCATCGGGAGGCCAGGATGAGGGTCAGGACATGGCACCAGCCCTCACCTGGCCAACATTCCACCCCAAGGCCCAAGGCCACCCCTGCCCACACAAAGGCTAGCCTCACCCGTTCCAGGGGGACCACAAAGGTCTGGTCCCAGGACTGCTTGGCCACCGGACCCCAGCCTGTGTGGCCCACAACACGATTGTCCACTTTCAGCACAGCCAGTACCTCACCTGCAGGGCCAGAGCTGGGGCTCAGGGCAGGCTGGGAGTGGGGGTCCTTTGCTGTACTCCCAAAACCCCACTCCCTGTGCCTCCTACTCACTGGCCAGCTCGCCTCCACCACGCTGCTGCTTGGCCCTGCCCCGAAGCCAGCTCTGGGAGGGGCTCCCAGCCAGCACGGCTACTGGGGAACGTCCAGGCACGGCTGTCAGCAGCTGTTCACAGCCCAGGAGGTGGACCTGCAGCGTCCCTGGGGGGAGTGTGAAGGGGAATGCCATCAGGGGCCACCCTCCCACTGCCACCACCAGTGGACACCTGGGACCCCAGGAATGCTACCTTCTCGTGGAGATGGCTGAACCCACACCCATGTTAGGCCTTGGCAGCCATCTGCCACCTCCAGGCAGACAAAGCGGCTTTCCCCTACTGAGTACCCTTCATGCATGTGTTGGGGGCAGCAGACAGGCAGAGGAACGAAATGCAGCCCTCAGCCAGGCCACATGGGGTCAGAGTGCATCCCGACATGCTGCCAGAGTTCAGGGCCCAGGAAACACCACGGCGGGGACGAGGGCTTGGGGAGCAGGAAGCCTGGCTGCCTGCCTATCCTGTTCCCCCTTGTCCCTGGGCCTTGCTTTCCCTACCTGTCCAGTGGAAATGAATCTCAGCTCTGCCCTACCTCCCTCAATGGATACAAAGTGTGTTTTGCCAACCAAGTAGATTTGTTTTTAGGGTCAATAGAGTTTTGACCCCTTAAAGGGGAGAGGAAACAGTAGGATTCGAACAGCTTTTGAAGATGTAAACTGGGTCTAAGGGTACCATTTAAGAAGCCTGGGCCTGGGGCTTGCACTCTGACAGACCTTATAAAAAAAGGCAATGCCCAGGGTTGGAAGATCATTTTAGAAAGAACAACTCAAGGAACTGGGGTGTTTAGCCAGGAGCTAGGGCATGGGATGGTCCCATGCAGCTGTACTCTAGGCCTTTTAACAAGCCATTCCCCTTGCCTCCCCTAACTTGTCTATTTGGCCAACTCCCATAAGTCCTTCAGGGCCAAGCTCAGACACCACCTCCTCCAGGAAGCATCTTTTGATTCCCCATGGCCGGGTGAGGGGACATCCATCCCCTGTAGTTCCCCTTCTCAGCTCTACCCATGATGGGATGCGGTCTGTCTACGCCTGCACCAGCTCTGAGCAAGAAGGCACGGGGCCCTCCAGTCGGCGTCATGTCCCACTACAAGGAGGCAGATCTGGGACGGGGTAAGAAAGAACTTTCTAACAGTCCAGGCTGCCCAGAACTGGGTGCAGAGGGCTGTGACCTCACTGACCCTGGCCCTTGAAGCATTACAATGGTTACTCACTTAAATAACAGCTCTATCGATCCAGTGCTGGTTATGCCAGCACTGTGCCTAGCACTTCACATGTGAGAACTCAAGGAACTGGGGTGTTTCGCCAGGAGCTAGGGCACGGGATGGTCCCATGGAGCTGTACTCTAGGCCTTTTAACAAGCCATGAATTATCATCCCCGTTTTACAGATGGGACAAACTGAGGTTTGGGAAAGGGATGTCACTTGCTAAGTTCCCACAGCTGGAGAGTGGCAAGGCCGGGATCGGAACTGTTCCACCAAGTTCTTCCCCACTACGGCCTTTCTTCTCTGGAAAGGAGGGAGTGCTCTGAAGTGGAAGGGGCTCCTGGCTACCTGTCAGGGCAGCAGGCTTCACAGGCATCCCTGAAGACCGGGGGGTCCCAGACACAGCCGTCCGCAGCTCCCGGGCCACTCTGCCACGCAGAGGGTGGGCAGGAGGTAGGCCCTCCAGCAGCTGCTCCAAGGCCAGCCGCAGGAGGTCCAGTTTCTGGGAGGACTCCTGGAGCTGGGCCTGAGCCTGCAGAGGGGAGCCAGGCAGGGGACACAGGCCCATGGGGACAGGGGCCGCAGTCAGAGGCTCAGTCCACCTGGAGACACCCCTCCCCATGGAATGAGGTCTGAACACAATGTGCTTCCTGTTTCCTCACTGCTGCCCTGCACGGCCAGTCCTCGGTGCCACCCGCCACTGCAGAGGGTGCTTTGAGAACAAACAGACCCTCAGAGAGGAGCAGCAACGGGAAGGGACCATCGTCTGACCTCGGCCAGCACCTTGCGATCTTGCGTTCGCCGGCTACCCAGCAGCTTCACCACGTTCTTGGCACCCTCGGCCACAGCAGCCTCAATGCGCAGTCGATGCCTCAGCTCCTCTGCCAGCAGCTCAGGACCTGGGAGAAGGGAGTCAGCCCTCAGGCCTCGCCCTGTTCTGCCCTGCCCATCCCTGTCCCTCCAGGCCTCACCTGGCTCAGGGGACCCACTGGCTTCCAGGCTGCTGATTTTCATTCGCAGCAGGGCCACCTTCAGCTGGCTGTCCTGCAGCATCTGCTGAGCGGCTGCCAGGAGTTTCCTCTCCTAGGGGGTTGTGACATATGCCCCACGGAACCAGGACTAACCCAGGCCTCCTTGGTCAGACCAGAGATGAGAGCCAAGCCTCCCCCACCAGACCAGGTTTGAAGCCAAGCCTCCCTTCAAAGTCCAGATACTAGAGTCAAGCCTCCCTTGGTGATTATGTCTGGGGCAGAGCGTCCCCCATCAGACCAGACAAGGGCTCAGGTCAGGCCTGCCCCCATCATATTGGGGCTGTGCTCCACATCATGCTGGGAGTTAGGACTGGGGCTGGGCCTTCCCTACTAGACTGGGGACTTGGGCTTGGATTCCCCCATTAAACCAGGGTTCCTTCTCTGTTAGACAAGGGGCTGGAGCCATGCCTTCCCCACTAAGCTAGGATTTGGGGCTGTGTCTCCCCTTCAAAATAGGGGTTAGGACTGTCTCTCTTACAGGGTCAATGACCGGGTTGTAGTTCTTTATCAGAATGGGACTTCAGCAGTATCTCTTCTACTAATGTGACAGCCAACTCTTTCCCCATCAGACCCCAGGAGACTTACCTTGGGGGTGCCACTGGCATACGTGTGGGTCATATTCTCAGCCCCCTGCTTTACCTTCAACTCCACCTGCAGCTGCCTCTGGAGAGCCTCCAGGTGCCGGGCCCTAGGCTGCTCTGTCAGTGGCCGGGGTCCTGCAGCCAGAGGTTCTGTGTACACAGAGCGTGGGGCGTGTGAACCCCTCACCCAGAACCAAGTGCCTCCCACAGCCTAGCTCTCTCCTCCCCTGCCCCTGGGCGGGGGCTACCTGAGGAAGCTCTGGGAGTGGTCAGGGCCAAGGTCAAGACGCTGGGTTGGCCTGGCGCCTCCTGTCCCAAGGGGTCTGCTCAGACTCCTCACTCACCAGCCAGGCCAGGCCCGGGGCTGGGCAGCAGGACGCGGGCGTGCAGCTCCCGAAGCTCTCCGTGCAGCTGCTCCAGACGGCGGTTGGAGGACCGAAGCAGCTGTTGCACGTGGCCCAGGTGGCGGCGGTCTGTGGCCACCCGCCGCAGGTTCTCCACACCTTCCTTGATTTTCAGCTCCTTCTGGATGGCTCTGCGGATCACCTCTTTCTCATCCTCTGGGGGCCTCTGGCCTGCCCCAGGCTGTGGAATGCAGAGGAGTCGTTTCCACTCAGTCCCTGTCGCCAACCCCAGCTCACCACTGACGGGGGTGGGGACGGGGGAGGGGGTGGGGACGGGGGAGGGGGGGTGGGGACGACACCCAGGATGGACACATGGGGCTTGGGAGGCGCCTCGGACCTTACAGCTAGTATCTCTAAGCCAGATGGAAACCCCACGGCTGTTTATCCAGCCCACGCTCCTGTCCTCTGCCGTTAGACAGAAGGGTCAGGGGGAGAAATGGTTACTATTTACAACGGTGCTACTGGATGCCAGGTCTGGTGTCAGAGGTTTACACACGTCAACGTGTTAGTCCTCACAACAACCCCATGAAGTAAGTGGTCGTCATCCCCATGTTACAGATGAGGAAACTGAGACGCAGAGATGCTAAGTCATTTGCCCAAGGTCACACCACGGCTTGGGCCCCAGCCTCTCCCTGCCAGTCACTCTTAATCAGGCTGCTCTAAGGCTGGAATTCAGGCTGATCTGGAGCCAGAAGAGAGGTGAGAGATTCACCCAGGGTCACAGAGAAGCAGCCACAGTCCAGGGCTGAATAGAGGCCAGGGCTGTTGCCCTGATGCCCTAGGGCCTCGGGTGGCAAAGCAGAGTACAGACAGGGGGCTGAAGAGGTCTCTGGGGCCCATTTCCAGCTCAGCTCCTGGGAGGAAGTAGGAGCTTTCTCACTACTTCACCCAGTTAGAGACAGAAAGAGGAAAACCTCCTTCTCAGAGGCTGAGGTTTAAGCTGCCTCAGCCCAGGGTAACCCATGACACCCACCCCCATTGCAGGACCTCCATCTTACCGCTCTGCGCGCCATCTCCTGAGCCCAGGGGAAGGGTGGCTACCCCAGACTTAGGGCCCCCCCCACCCCCCAACCCTAGGCCTCCTTTGGTCCGCTAGCTCGGCTGTCGGAGGGCAAGGGCGGGGCTCAGGAAATCCTTTGCCGGCCCTAGGCCAGTGGGCCAGAGCCAAATGCTTGAGCAAACAAAGATCCTATGGAGCAGGGGGCCCGGCCACCGGGGTCCTGAGTCACCCAGCTGGGGCTGCTGGGCGGAGGTTCACAGGAAATAGGAAAATGTGTACAAGCCACCGCTGGAACAGGCCACAGGACCTCCGGAGGAAGGGGGTAGGAGGGGGCAGACGCCGCTGAAGGCTCTCTGAGTCTCTGAGGTGGGGGCTCTCGAAGGCGTCTGGTTCGGGACACGTCACCCCTGAGTATACCCCGCGGTCCTGTCTATCCTGGGCTGGAATCCTGCCATGTACACACATCCGTCTCCCCTTCTGCTCTGCGGCTGGGGGCCCTATCTTGCCCAGACACCCCCGCCCCATTTGCTCTGGGCTGGAACTCCCCCTCCCCCTCTCCAGTAACAGACACGCACACAGCCTTGCCCCTGGGTCCAGGGGCACCTACTGCCAGCTCTGGCTGGAACCCCGCCCCCTCGCCACTCTGTGTACCCGAAGGTTCCCGCGCGGGCTCTGGGCTAGGTCCCGTCCCTCGCGTGCACACGCCCCGCGTGCCAGTGCGCACGAGGAAGGAACCCCGCGAGCGCGCTGGGCTGAGCCCCTCCCAGGCCGCCCTCCCCCGTATGCACACTTTCGTCCCCTGGGACCTGTACCAACGTGCCCGCGCCCGTCCCGCATTGCTTTTTCCGGCAGATTCGCACAGGCCTTAGAAAGACCCGAGAGAACCTATTTTCGGAAATTTTGGGGCCCACCCCGGTGGCCCTGAGGATTCAAATGCGCTCATGAGCCTGCCTGACTAGAGGCTCTGAGTCACTTGGGGGTGATTTAAGGACGTTTCCAGGGGACATGAACAACTCACCCGCATGCTCAGGTCTGCCCTGCGAAGATGGAGGGGGGCCGGGGCAGGGGCTGGGAAGGGATTCGGGGAGGGGTTGGGGGTGCGGAGCCATGGCTGGGGACGCGGCCGGAGCTCGGCACGCCCGCAGCGGTGAGACAGGGTTCCCCCGCCCCTCGGCGCGCGCGAGCAGCCCTGCCGACCCCGTTGCGATTCACCTGCCGCGGCGCCCCCTCCTCCATGGCGGCACTTCGGCCTCCCGGCCCCTCCTCTCCACCACTCCGATTCCGGAAGCCTCGGCCGCTCCGCCAGGACTTTCAAACTTGAAACTTCCCGGGAAGCGGCGCCGAGCCGCGGGATCGGGCGCCCCCTCCCGAAGTCCGCTGGCCCTCGCGGGACGCAGGATCAGCGCCGCCTCGCGGCCGCGCGGGATCAATACCCGGGACCTCACTCTTGAACCTGCGGCCCCAGCGCCTCCCCCGGATCCGAGGTTCTGGGCTCTGGGCTGTGTCCCCTCTTCAGAGGCTGCAGTTCCCGCTGTTTGCAACACTGACCCCCACCCCGGGATAGAAGGGCAGGAAAGAACCTTTCCCGGGCCGGGATTCTCTAGTTGCCTTGCTGCGCGCCCTAAGGGGTGGGCCCGGGTGGCGACAGCGCCGCCTGCCGGCCGCAAGACCCTTCGTGGCCGGTCCACTCCAGGTTGGGTCAGCCTCCTCTACCTCCAACCCCTCCACCACTTTGGTTTCTCATCCTCTCGGATGTCAGTGCGAAATCGGCTAATCTGAAACCTGTCACCCCCACGGAGTACTGGACTGTGCAGTCACTGTAAGAATGTATGCATCAAAACTGAAGGAACAAAATGGCAGCGACTCAGTGACTCCAAGAATGAACTAGTGGTTACCAAAGGGGAGGGGTGGGAGAGGGCGGGTGGGGAGGGAGGGAGAAGGGGATGGAGGGGTATTATGTTCACTACACATGGTGTGGGGGATCACGGGGAGAGCAGTGTATCACAGAGAAGGGACATAGTGGATCTCTGGCAACTTGCTGCACTGATGGACAGTGACTGCATTGGGGTATGGGTGGGGACATGATAATATGGGTGGATGTAGTAACCACATTGTTTTTCCATGTGAAACCTTCATAAGAGTATCAATCATACCTTAATAAAAAAAATTTTTTTAAATGTATGCATCACCCAAATCAAGCCCAATTACACATCACAGATGAATAAACCAAACGTCTCTCAGACGCCCATCACTTGACCCAACTGAAGCTTTCAGGTTCAGCCAGGGCCATTGCTCTGCCTTGGTCCTAAAGAGCCCAGCCATACAGAAAGCACATCTGCGCCTCGAGAAAGTCACCATCTCAGGAGAGTAACCAGCCTATACTAGACCTCCTGGCAATGGCTTGCCTGTATAGGGGATCTTAGTTCACTGCCCAGCCTAGGACTGTTTAGCCACTTGCTGGTATCCTGTGCTCACCAGCTCTTTGTGGCAGGACTTTACTATAAGAAGGCCATATATGTAAGGGGCAAATATTGAAGGTGGTGTGGCTTATTTGTGAATTTGGAATAAACACCCCCCCAGAGCTTTTACTGAAGGAGGCCGTGTCAGTTCCACTTTGTTCTGACCACCTCCCTCACAGTGGACTGGAGAAAGTAGAACTGGCAAGCCATGGACCAACAATTCTGGGTTGTCCTGCAATGGGAACTCCTAAGTGGCATCAACGTATGCAAAGGCACCTTGGTTCAATGGGGTACCTGCTTATACTTCATAACCAGAGGTCATTCCTGACTTAAAACACATGTATCAGTGTTGAGGGCTACACCATTAACGCATAGCAGGCTAGTCTGGCACATAAGGCTCTTCTAAGTGGGGCTTATCATCAAGTTGCCCTGAGCCGAATTTTAAACATAGTTTAAAAAAGGCTATCAGGTTTTGACTGCACATCTTAAGTTTGAGAAAAAAGCCCAAATCAAACTAACAAAGCTCCCCTTTTCAGGAAGATGCCTATTTCCCATCTTGAGGATCATTTACCCATTCCTACAGTCAAGGAAGCCAAATCATACCTAAGAACTCAAAATGACTTTCCAAGTGTGCTGTAAAATGTTTCATTGCCTCACCCGTCACCAAGAGAGTTCAGAAGTAGCAGAATCCATATACCGTCCAAATGAACCCCAGCTGGGCAAACCCACAGGGGAACTAGGTCCTGAGCAGACGGTTGAGTCTGACCAGACAGCTGCACCTTTTATGTACGATGGTGATGGTACTTCACAAAGCTGTAGTTCTTAGGAAAACAAGTTCACATTCAACATCTAGTAGACAGTGAATAATGGAGACTCTCCAGCTTTTTGGCTGTTAAAACTGCATAAACATCAACCTGAAAGGAGCCTCAAACTTCCTAGCAGGACACACACATTCCCTCTTTCTACACTTTTCTTTCTTCTGGGTATTGCAAACTTCAATCCAGCTACATTTAGCCTAGTCTCCCTTGAGTAGTATGAGTACAATGTCACCAACTAATCAAGTTGGCGAAGTCCTATTTTTGTTTTATCACAGAACTGCAGTCCTTCCCCTCAGATCTGTTACAAAGTAAATTTTTAAGTCTTCATAAACACAGCCATATATTCGAAAGGGAATGGTCACTGCTGGGGTTGGAGACCAAGTTCCCAAATAATGATGTCCTTTAAACTGGAATGGCTATTCATCCATCTCCTTTTCTCAACCTTCACAAAGTCCTCAAAGTCTTTACCCTTTGCAACATAATTCCATTCTTGCAGTGGCCAGAAGGGTTCATAGCAAAATATGAAAACAGAAAACAACCTAAACCTGTTTCTGGGACCAAGTGAAACCATGAAACCAGTTGTTAAAAAGCAGTTCATGACAGAGGCTACCAAATTAATCCAGAAACAACTGGCTAGGAATCTTCTGAAGACCAAAAGCCCCAAATACCCACAAGACATTCATCTTTTAGGAGCCCAACAGCTAACAAGTGAAAACAGGCCAAATGTAAAACAAGTGTTAGCCCAACAAGACATCTAGGCACTCCATGGACTATTTAAATAAACTACATTTTAGAGGTAGAATGGGGTGAAATATAAGAGCCTCCCTTAGAGGTTAGGGAATAGTTACATCTTCTAAAAATCAGGGTATCATTAGAGAAACAAGTAATCTCAACTCCAGGGTTGGTCTAGAATATGCCTGAAGGTTTTGAAATTAAAGATACAAGTTACTGTCCTCTATGCCCTGGTTCATGTAGTTACCAAGTTCTTCTCATGAGCTGAATATGGCAAGGACTTGGAAGAGACGTACACTTGCCAGAGAAACTACCTAACGGTCACTATTTGCTCTTTGGTTAATGTCCTTGTACTAAAGTTTTGGGCCATTTATCAGGAACTTCCCAATACACATTTGCCCAAGCGCCAGCCCATGAGCTGCTCTTGCAACTGGGCACAAAGCACACTAGCTACTCTAGCCATTTTCCAGCACACTTAAGGTTGCCACCTGGCTTTCTCCGGCTAGTGCTCCTTCACAAGATTTGCAGGCACAGGGAAACCTAAAGGGTGATCTCAGTGGTTGGCAGAAAATTAACTTTCAAGGCTCCTGTTTTTCCACATTCCTAAAAATATTCAAAATGATTATATGTGACCTAACAGTACTAAGACCTCACCAGCACAGAAAAATCAGGTTTTGGCAAGCTATTACTTGGTGAAATAAACATGAGATTTAATGAGAATTAGTTCAAATGACTAGTAGTTTCCCTTATAAGTCCTTTAAATGATGGGAGACTTCAAAATCAAAATACTCCATTCCCTCAGAAACTTACATTCCAAGTTATCAATCTGTGTCCATGACTTTTATACATACCTTTCCATGCAGATGGTACCTACCTATGCTACACTTACTGCTGAACCATCTGCAGAGTAGCTCCCTCCCTTCCCGTCAGTGTGAACACAAATATCACTACAAAAAACTAGCTTACGATCTAAATCCAGAAGCAAGTTAACATTTTTCTACAAAACAAGGAGAATGACCCCAGTCAATAAACATCTTTACGTTCCTTTATTGGAGCAAGATTCCTGACCGGTATACAGATGTTATTTACTAAACAGAGACCTGTGCAGAAATTACATACTATCCATCTAGACAGGTTTCCATTACACTTTGCCTATTGATGGAATAGTTCCATTTATAAAGTTTTATACATCAAAAAGCTTTGAATTTGACCAGGCTGTCCAGTAATTCATCTCTGAAAAAAGTTAAGTGGCATTTAATTGTAGCTACTATATTTTACAGCATTAAAAAGCTTATGCATTAGGTAGCTTCTCAAAATGTTCTTTTATGCACAACGGCATTTAACAGAGCAGAGGCCATCACCTCACTCAGATCCACACAAGATGGTCTCATTTGAGAGCTCTATGCTAAATAGCTGGTACTTAGAGGCGTAAGTACTCCTGAGTTTCTTACCACCAATACGGACTTAGTCTGTCTTCTCAGTCACATTCTATAGTGTCAAGGAAGACATGCCAGCAGTTGTCCCGTTAACTCGACATTAAGCACCAGTTCTGTCTGATGGTGGTGGCAGGCACTATTATTTTATCCAGGTAAATAAAGGCCCATTTTTTAAATGCCAACTTGAGATACAAAATCAAGGGTACAATATACTCAGAACTGAGTGTTGAGCAATCTGGTGACCTTAATGACATGAAAACTTTCAGAAACTGATGGCAAATTGTACCCAAGATGGTTCCCAGCTATGGAGACATTAATACATTGATTCAATCCCTTTACTCAAATCCACATAGCCCTGAGGTCATTCTGCAAAGTGCGTATCAAAAAATACGGAGTTAGGGTGACAAAGTTTGACAATATGTTATACAAGTCAAACTTGGAAGTCATATTAAATACATCTGTTCTGAGAGAAAAGCATCAAATCCTTTGTGTACACATTTAGTTTTATTGTAACAAAGCAACTTGTACACTTTTAATGTTTAAAACTGAGCATCATCTTTCCTTTCCAGTGAAACAAAAAGAAAATTTAAAAATAAACAGGAACAAAATTACAATAGAGAATGTCAATTCCAAATGAGATCCTACAGGTTCTGATTCTCCCATCGAGTGGCAGGGCTCAAGTCATCATTAGGAGAGAATTTTATTTTAAAAGTGTCATCTTAAACTGCAAGGATGTCCGTTAAACATCACAATTAAACATGCCAAAGGAGAAGCCATGTTGTCAAAATGCCCACTTAACCCACCCAAACATCTCAAACCCACCCTTTGCTGACCTTCTATAACCCCCTTTTTTTAAGTGTTTTTTTCTTTTTTTAAACAAGAGAAAGTAGACAGATACATGTTGGTAAATGCTAACTGTCCATATTCACATAGAGACACAGTGTAATCTCTGAGCCCGATATACAGAGAAAGGAGGAAAAAGCTAGAATTCTATGCACTACTACACAGGGGCCTAGCACCCGCCAGCTTCCAGCAGAGCTA